AATGGGAGAAAATCTTTGTCAGTTATCCATCTGACAAAGGATTTATAACCAGAATTTACAGAGAGGTCATAAAACTAAACTCCCCAAAAATCAAAATCAATCAATGGCCCAATGAAGAAAGGGGCAAACGAACAGAACAAAATTTTTCAAAGGAAGAAATATAAATTTAAAAAAAAAAAAAAACCACATGAAGAAATATTCAACATCCCTGGCCACAAAGGAAATGCAAATCAAACCACATTAACATTTCATCTCATTCCAGTTAGAATAGCTATCATCAAGAACACAACAACAAATGTTGGTCAGGATGCAAGGAAAGGGAACCCTTAAGCACTGTTGATGAGAATGTAAATTTGCACAACCACTATGGAAAGAAGTATGAAGGTTCCTCAAAAAAACTAAAAACAACCAAACAATCCAGAGATACCACTCCTGGGCGTATATCTGAGGGAATGTAAGTCAGGATACACTAAAGACACTGGCACACCCATGTTTACAGCAGCACTATTCATAGTAACCAAGCTATGGAAACTACCCACATGCCCTACAACTGATGAATACATTTTTAAAATGTGATACGTGTACACACACACACACACACACACACACACACACACACACACACACACAGGAGTATTATTCAGCAATGAAGAATAAAATCATGGCATTTGCAGGTAAATGGATGGGACTGGGAATGATCATTTTAGCAAAGTAAGCCAGGCTCATAAAGACAAAGGTTGCATGTTTTCACTCATATGTGGAAGAAATATTCAAAAAATAAATAAGCACAAATACATGACCATATCTACCTATATATGTATATATAATACATTTGTAATGTTGGGACTTTTGAGGGAACTAAGGAGAGGAAAAGAGAATGATAGAGTGTGGATAATACAGAAATACATTGCATCTGTGTAGGAAGAGGGCATACAAAACGTACTGAAAGCTGTTGAATCATAAGGGTAGGGGGAAAGGGTAAGGAAGAGTAATAGAGAGGGTTAATCTGATTAAAGTACAATATATTCACAGGTAAAATGCCATGGCAAAACCCCTTTAAGCCATGACTATACACTTAAATAATGAAGGACAGGAATGTAAAGCAGTTCCTGTTAGAGGGAGGGTAGTAGAAGATGGTGGAGAGGGAATAGAGAGGGTGAGGAGGGTAAATAAGGTCAGTGTACTTTATGTGCTTGTATGAAAATAGAAGGAAACCTGTTGAAATCATTTCAAGTAGGAGGAGGGAGATGAGGGAGAATGATGGTGGAGATGAACCTAACCAAGTTAGATTGTAAGCACATATGGAAATGTCACAATGAAACCCTCCATACAACGAATATATACTAATAAAAATGTTCAAAACACACAAAAACAGGTGTACTAATTTAGAGTATCCTCATATTAATTAGAGTACTCCCACAGATTAATTACAATTTTCCCCAGCTGGTAATAAGATGGTGTGGCCCTCATGCCTGCCCTCCTACTTCCATCAGGGTGGAGATGGCTGCTGTGGGACTGGGCTGCTGTAGGAGCCATGAGGCCCCCCTGCCATGGCTGCATCACTTCTACGCCTCCTCCCACCCAGTCTGTGAGCACAGGGATTTTCCAGAGGGCTTTCAGATGGAATATAAAGCCATGTTAAATACAACATATGAACACAGAATAAACAAAGGGGAACTTTTTGTTTGGCTCTCCAGAGACTGAAGCAGTAAAACCAGTTTGAGGGGCTCTCCCAAACTAGAGAGACTTGTACTAATTTCTGATAACCTGGAGAGCTACATGAGACAAAGGGAAAACTTGTGAATCTGCCTGGACTTTAACCAGCAGCACAAAAAGGAAAAAGAAGTCTGAGGAGAGTAAAAGCGTTTCCCTCAGGGCAGAGAGTAGAATAGCAAAGCCAATCTGTAAGGTTTTTCCAAAGGAAAGCGAGTTCTTAGGAACTAGAATCAAACTAGGATCTGTTGTACCTGTGTAGAGTATTCAACATGAAGAAGGTCTCCATAAAAACAGATCATAGGCCTCTTCTGACTACTGACAAACAGTACTATTTGAGGTAGACAGAAAACACAGACAATGCTAGGAGGGAAAGAAAAGACCAGGGGAATGTGCAGCGTGGCAGGTGGAGAAGAAAAGAGCTGGGGATCATGTTAATCTAGCAGTTTGTAAGCTGGCCATGTCAATATACAAAGAAAGATTTGGCTTTTTTTTTTTTTTTCGGTGTTTGAGGTTCAAATTTAGCCCAGTGCTAGAGAATGCAGCCCAGGGGTGAGTCTGGCAGGATCAACGGGTGGGAGAGGGGCTTTCCAGCACCCCAAGTCTCATGCCCCACCAAGAACGGAGGTTCAACCTAGACATCTGTGGGGGACTGAGGTGTGAGTTCTGATATCAACATTTGGTCTAAGCAGAAGGACCTCCAGTGACTGAGTGCAACCCTCAAAAAAAGAAAAAAAAAAGACTCCAAACACTGAGAATTTCTGGTACCTTAAGTTTCCTCAAGGTGTCCCATTGAGAGAGAAGGGGCCCAAAACATGCAGAGGGACAAATCAGGTTGCCTGCTCTACTGGAACATTCCAGACTCAGAGGGACCACAAGCGAGGATGCAACTCTCCAGGATGATAGGACTCCCCTCCACCCTGGAGTACCACTTTCAGAATTGAGAGGACTCTGGTATGTGAAATCAGGGTGGTCATTGCTGACCAGAAAAAGGAAAGAATGAAGGATTCACCAATGGCACCAAAACTCCTTCCACAGGGCAGAAATGATGTTGCCTGAGGAGTCCATAAGAGGATTTGAAAGTATATACATATGTACATACATAGGTTGGCCCAGAGATCTTCCACTGCCAATTGTGGAGTGTTGGAAGTGGGGACTTGAAAATGGAGAAGACAGACAGGCTTGTCACCTGCATGGAGTGCAAGCAGATAGATTCCTTTTACTGAATTTTTGAGGTTTTACCAGAGAGTTGTCCTCTCCAGAAACCTGCAAATTTCAGGGAAAGGAGATCATCCATCCCACCTAAAAGTCTGTCTGTGTAAGTCTCAGGTCCTTACCTCTAAGAGTTATGGGTTCCAGATACCTGGGAAGAGAAGACCTTTGGATTCAGGAGTAACCCTGGCCCACAATTGTGCCCAAGCCCAATGCAATACTACCAAAAGTCCTGATATGAAAAGAAAGGCGTTCTCCCCATATTAATCCCCATAAGGGCCTCTATTTTCCATTGTGTATTTTGGGGGCGCAAGTTAATAAGAGAATTTACCAAAACAGAACAGGAAAAAGCAAAGCTCTATTAGGACACCATTAAAAGGGAAAAAAATGGCAGGCAGCTAGTCAAAGGAGTATAGCACTATTATTCATTTATGTAAGCCACATGGAATAGCAGTTACAGAGTACAAAGCAATTAAAAAATCACATTAATTAATGCATCTACTTTTACCTTTGTAAAATGCTATATTTGAAGTTTAATCAATCCATGAGTGCTAAGGATTTTTTTTTAAAAAAAGCTAAAATTCTCAGTCTCTCTTCCCAGAGCTCACATAGTAAAACTACTCAAGTGTTACTTTTTCTATAGATGATAACACATTTAATAACTTGGAAATTTTAATAGCAAAAACTAAGCACACAGATTGTTAAAAAGTACTTTCTTGGAGGCACAAACTTTTTAGCATAATCTAATTAGAATAGAAGGAAGATGGCTTGCTGTTTACTTGAACTTTCACACATCAACTTTACTCTGTAAACTTCAGTTATGAGTTATGAAATTTTAACCTTTATTATAAAAAAAACACAATTTCACACATTGCATTTAGTGCAGAAGAACTACAGCAGACAATGTATTTAAATGGTACCGGTCTACCCTTCTGAACAATGTTACCTCCACCACATTTTACAAAACTGACTTGAAAGACGGGGTTGTAGCTCAGTGGTTGAGCACTAGCCTAGCATGCATAGGGCTCTGGGTTCAACTCCCAGTGCTTCAAAAATTAATAAACAAGTAAAGTCAGACCTGAAAATGTGCCTCCCACACTGGGATGAGGATGACTGGCCCACAGAATACTGCACAGACACCATGCTCGTGAAGATTTACAATGCACCTTAGCATACTGAACACTGGGAAACGCTGGACACTTGCAAAATCTCTAAGTTTGACTCACTGCTTTTCGAACTTACATGTAAGTATGGTTGGCTTTTTGCACCTTTTAACACCTCACTAAACACTAATATTCTTGGGCAGGGTTTCTCAAGCCATTAACTTCGAATCAGTCACAAGTTCTCATTAAAGTATAAGTTCTGATTCACCGGTAGGCCTGGAAGTATACATTTCCAACTCACTCCCCAACAGCGCCAGTGCTGTGGTCCAGACACTGCTGTGCAGCAGCTGCTGCAAGAGACAACATGGCCACACAGGGCTGGGATAGTAATGTGATATTCACAAGTGCTACTGAATTGTAGACAAAGAAAAATTAAAGGACTAGAAAGAGACTGAGTCTAACTCAGTCTAATGAAAGAAGAATGCATTGCATGACACTGGGTTCAATCCTCAGGAATGCCAGAGAGAGAGAGACAGGGTGGGGGGACTCTATAGGGATTTTTGGTTTGGTGGAATATTAGACAATGAAATGAATAAAAATGGGTAAGACTATGAAGAGCCAAGAAAAAAAGGACCCTTGCTAAAGAAGGCAAAGGACACAGGAAGAGAGAGATGGGGACTGAGGTGGAGGAGGCATAAGAAGTACTAGCACGTCAGAAGGACTGACAAATCTTCCCAGGTTTCATTACTAAAATAGGCCATGCAATCAGAAGCCACTCACTGGGTTCCTATTTTAATCACTGAAAGACTTATGGCATAATTGGAAGAACACTCTGTGGTAAAGGTTTAGCAAAGTTCACAAAGGCTCCTTGGAGTAAGAAACAAATTTCTACAGATGTTACTTCACGTTGAACCACTAAAATCATAGGAGAAAACAAGAACCTTTACAGTAGAGGTGAAATGGAAGTCAAACCTTTTCTTGGATGAGTCTTTGAAGGTGGATCCCACAGGACAACATGGTGGTGAACAGGATCAACAGGTACTGCTGGACTCTGCAGATAGCAGAGGCCAGCGAGTGTATGACTGAGTTCAGCCCCACTTTCTCGATCACATTCTGGAAAGCAGTAGGAGCCTGGCGAGTGACTCTGCACAAGGCCTGTGGAGAGAAAAAGCACAGAGTATCAGATGACCCAGAGTACAACACCCTAGGGCAGGGCAGAAGGTGGTAACCCCGCTCTTTTATTACTTAGTTTAGCACAAGGAGGAAATTTCAATAAACTTGAAAGGAAAACAATAGTCCAGCTGCCAATAAGAGAGTTACAGCTGTTTTAAAACATAAGTGATAAGTTAATTCATAAGTCTATATAGAATAATCTCTGTTAAGATAATAAAATAAAATTATTATACCTATTCTTCATGCAGGCACTAAGCTTAGTGCTGAAAAATACTCACAAAATATTTAGTATTTATTGGTCACTATATAAGGACAACTATCTGAAAATTATCTCATTTAGATTTTCCAACTACATATAAGGTAGCACTGTTATCCCCATATTATACATAGTAAGGTTATGGCTTAGAATATTTTAGTAACTTTCCCACAGGCACAGAGCTAGCAAAGGATAGAGCAGGGATTCAAACAGAGGCAGTCACCTCAAGAGCTGTTCAGTGAGAGAGGGAAGCTCTGAGTTCAAACCCCAGTACTGCCAAAAAAAAAAAAAAAAAGCCACAAGGGTGGGCTGGAGGTGTGGCTCAGGCAATACAGCATCTGTCTTGCTAGTCTAAAGCCCTGAGTTCAAATACCAATATCATAAAAAAAAAAACCTTACAAAATGTGAGGTTAGATGTGTAAGGAAAGGAGACAGGCATGAGTTGATGACTGGAGAATACACTGAGGGTGCCTCATTATGCAGAGAGCCCAGATGAGGCTGGTAATCAAAGGTGGGGAGGTTAAGTAAATCATGTGAGAAAGGCTTGTGTTAGCTGTGCAGACTTAAATTGATACAACTATGTTAATACATCTTCTTACACAATTATCCCTTTCACCAAGTCATTATAACCTTGTGCACAAAATTGCAGACAGCCAATCAGAACAAAAACTGCAAAGCCATAGATGCCTGAGCACTGAAATGGGTTTATCTGAACCACATAAGATAAAACCATTCAGCACACAGTCTGAATGAGGGTGCTGACAGGAAAAGGCAGGAAACACTAGAAGTGCAAGAAACCTAATCCTGTGCCCTATCTACTGCCACAGCTTTCCACTGTCAACTCCAAATAGAAACCCTAATGTCATGGTCCTACAAAGTGCTACTGGGATTTCCTGATACTACCAAGGTTTTCCAGCCCCAATTCCAAAACTCCTGCTTTAGGAGAAGATTGACTTATTGCTCTCACCAACTATTACTATAAGATTTCAGTTTTTGACCTGTTCAACTAAATTTACTCCTGTTCAGGCACATTTCTCAGACATGGTGTTTAAATGCACCCAGGTGTACCCTGGAAGATGCTCTGGCTTACTGATATCGCTGTAATCCTCAGAGAGTCGACAGTGGAATGCCTGAATAGATACCACAACACAGGCCCGACTTCCCCTGTGAGGAAGCCCTGTGCCTGGGCAGAGAAGGTAGTGCAGACATTCTCAATAATCTTTGCAGCCATGTGATTCACAACACGTTCTTCCTAGAAAGAAGAAAGGGAGAAGATTAAAAGAGTACTATTTTTAAAGAGTATGATCTAATAAAAGAAATACATACATGTCATTTTCTCGTTACCACTGTTCTGATTATTAAGAAGCTGTTAACAAATAGTCATTTGGTTATTCACTGGCAGTGCAGCAGAACACAATTCTCCACATATTTTAGCAAACTAATATAGCAGAAAATAATTCCCCACATATTTTAATAAAAATCAAAATGCTAAAATCATCCAGAAAATAGGCATCATAAACATAACATGAGTCAGAAGATATTTTTTAATTGTGAAGAACAAGCAGAACAGTGCTCAGAAACCACCCAGGGCTAGAAATGATTTGTGTACCGATCCGACAACTGGATATAGGAGAATCCTAAGAAAGACATGGCCTCAGTATTTTGGCCAAATTAACCCAAGACTGAACAGCTATTCTGAATCATATTCTCAATGCTTAAAAGGCAGTCTCAAAAACATATGGATGGGAGTGGTGATTCACTCCTGTAATCCTAGCTACGTGGGAGATGCAGAATAAGAGTACTGCAATTCCAGGCAAGCCCAGAAAAAAAGTTCATGAGATCCCTATCTCAACCAATGGGTACAGTGGCCTGCACCTGTCATCCCAGCTGCATGGGAAACATAAACAGTAGGATCACAGTCCAGTCCAGGATGAGCCAGCCCAGGCATAAATGCAAGACTTTATTTGAAAGAATAATGAAAACCAAAGAAGCTGGAGGCATGGCTCAAGAGGTAGAGAGCCTACCTAACAAATATGAGGCCCTGAGTTCAAACCCCAGTACCACAAAAAAAAAAAAAGGATCAAACTGTTTTCAGGCAGTATCAATGAATCCAAGAAAAATCCCAAAAGTGGTAAAAGGAATACAAAAAAACTTCAGGACCCAACAACATAAAATTCATAGTATCTGACATCTAATTAAATATTACCAAGCATGCAGGAAAATATGTCTCTCAGTATGAAAATTTAATCAATGAAGTGATAATATATTTACTAGAAAGCTGTTTTAAAAAAGCTATTATATACATATATGTGTCTTATATAAAAAATATAGTGACAAAATTGACAGATTAAACACTGTAGACTGAACAATTAGTAATCCAGAATACACAGCAATTAGCAATTAAAAAATATATATATCCAAGCTGGGCACAGTGGCTCACATCTGTAATCCCAGTTACTTGGGAGGTGGAGATCAGGAGGATCAAGGTTCAAGGCCAACCGTGGCAAAAAAGTTAGCAAGACCTCATCTTGACTACTAAAAGCTGGGCGTGGTGGTACACGGCTGTCATACCAGATACATGGGAAGCATAAATAAAAGGATTACCATCCAGATAGAACTGACCATAAAACCAAGACCCTATTAGAAAAATAACTAAAGCAAACAAAAGGACTAGCAGCATGGCTCAAGTAGTAGAGCTCCTGCCTTGCAAGTGCAAGATCCTAAGTTCAAATTCCAATACTATCCCCCCCTCAAAAAAAAACTATCCAAAATAAACACAGAAAGAAAAACTGAATAAGAAACAGGAACAGAGAATCGATAAACGGTAGGAAAACTTGAAAAGACCTAATCTATGTGTAGTTGGGATGCCAAGGGTGGAGGAGACAGAAAAATGTTTGAAATGTTGCCTGAAATATTTCAAATTCATGAAAAATAACTCCAAGAACCCCAAGCAGAAAAAAAAAAAGAGAAAATTCGCATCACAGCATCTCACAATCAAACTGCTAATAAAAAAGCAAATAGTAAATAGAAAACCTTACAGGCAGTTAGAGTAAAAAGGAAATATTCCAAAGAGAGAAACAAAGATAGGGATGACTAGAAAATTCTCATCAGAAACAGTGCAAATCAGAAAACAGTAGCACAATAGATGGAGACTATCAAAAAAAGAAGGGCAATTATCAACCTACAAAGATTTGTAGGTATAGAAATACTCAACAATTATCTTCAAAAGCAAAGGAAAAGTCCAAAACTCTCAGAATTGAGAAACTAATCCAGTAAATTTTTGAGGTCCAAAATCAACTTACAAATATTAGTATCTGTTTTTGTATTGTTTGGGGTTTTTGTTTGTTTGTTGGCAGTGCTGAAGTGCCTTGTGCAAGGTAGGCAAGCACTACCATGGAGCTATATGGTTAACCTGAATCAGTAACAATTACAGTTATAACAACATAAAAAAATATAATACTATTGTCTGAGGTCAAGGCGAGGCCTTGACCCAGCAACTGCATCCAGCTGGTTAGGAGAACAGTTACAGAGAGGCAGTGCCAGGACCCTACAGTCAGTCAGAGGTTCCAGGGCCCGTTCTGTGCCATCCCTTTTCTGTTTCACACCCCTACTGCCCATAGCCCTTGTCCCTCCTGCTCCTGCGTAGGCCTGAAGTACTTTGTCCCTGGATGTTAGAACAAAACAAAAGCCCAACACCCAAGCTAAGCCACAGTGCAGGATGAGGGAAGTGACTGTGAGCCAGGGTGGTAATTGCAGTGCTCCTGGACAGGCACTTGGTTGATCAGTTCTCAGGGATTGCAGTCATCAACCTGTGGCCCTCTTGGGGTGCCCTTATGGTCAGTACTGAGTAAAGGCAGCTGCTGACCCATGAGTCCCTGGGCTCGGTGTCCTATGGCACTCGGAGGCAAGAGGATGGCAGCTGAGCTACCAATATCCCAGGTCCTGGAACCAGTGACCTTCAAAGACATTGGCCAGGGACTTCATCTAAGAAGGGGGCAGCTGGATCTTGTTCAGAGGACACTGTACCATGATGTGATGCAGGACAGATGAGCACCTGCAGTCTATAGGGAATCAGATCTCTGAAGCAGAGGTCATCTCCCTCTGCAAGCATATTCTCAAAGCACTTGCCCAGAGTGGCTGAGAAGTCTTGAAAGCAAAACATTAACCCCAATACATTTTTCTGGAAGTACAATCCCATAGCATAAAACTAGAAAAATACATATGGGATGATCCTTGGCTCAGGTTAGGAGTGTGAGGGTGTGAAGGCCAATTATAAATGTACTACATGGTCTAGAGTGCAGCTCTGAGGCAAATGGTCTTCATGCAAAAACAAGGACAATCTCAACAAGATTCTGAGTTCTGTGAACTTGGGCTAGAATTCAGCCAGGGTTTAAACTGTGTTCCAGCTCACACAATTCAACAAGTAGAACATTTCTGTAAGCCTGATAAACATGGCAAAAGTTGGAGATGCAACATAAGGGATGCAGATAATGCTATGTGTAAATATAATGATTATGACAAAGCTACCTACCAATCCATTCAACCTATTCACCCTGTAAGAACATAAACTGGAGATAATGCCTTCAAATGCACTAATACTGTTAAATCTTTCAACACGTAATACCCTTTGATGATCATAAAGGAATCCACACAGGAGAAAACTCTAAAATATAAAAAATGCCCTCAAATCTTTAACCAGAGTCCATCATTTAACGACCATCCAAGAATTCACACTATAGAAAACCAGTATGACTACAAAGAATATGAAAATATCTTTTACTTCCCATCCTTTATGGAACTTTCCAAAAAGCGATTTATTGAGAAAGCATATGAATTCAACGAATGGAGAAAATCTGTGTGTATGTCTGATTCCTAACTCAACACCACAAACATTCACAATGCAGAGAAACCCTGTGAGTATAATTAATGTGGAACATGTCTCATCTGGAGCTAAGCCAACACTTAAATCAATATTATCTAAATCGACATTTTAAAAAAACTTATACTAGAGAGAAACCCAATGAATGTGATAAACGTAGAAAAGGTTTTAGGAATTCTTCAACCCTTGCAAACTCACAGTGGAATAAACCTCTATAAATATAACAAGTACGGAAATACCTTAGCTGGACTTTACATATTATTGTACAGAAGAAAATTCATACAGAAAAAATCTTACATGTGGAATGAATATAGGAAATCTTTCTACTGGAACTCCCATCTTATTGGGAATCAGAGAAATCTTTTGAATGTACTGCATGTGGAAAAGCTCACATTTGCTTGCCCACATTAGAACACACACTGGAGAAAAACCCTTCAAATGTGACAAATATGACGAGCATATAGGGATTACTTAGCAATTAGTAAATATGAAAGAAATCTCTCTGGAGCAAAAATACATAATTACTGAATGTGGAAAATCCTTTAGCTGGAGCTCCCATCTTTTCTCCCATCAGAGAACTCACACAGGAGAGAAACCCTGTAGCTGCTAGGAATGTGGCAAAGCATTCAGAGAACAGGCAACCCTAACCAAACATGAAGACATTCATTCTGGAATTAAGCTGTATGGACATAATAAATGTGAAATATCCTACAGCCAGGTGGCTCATCTTGTTAGGTATCAAAGGACTCATTACATAGCATACAGATGCAGTAACTGTGGGAAATTCTTTAGCCAAAGCCATCACCTTGTTGCTCAGAGAATTCGCACAGGTAAGAATCCTATAAATATAATGAGAAAGATTCCTTAACTGTAGTTCTCCATTTATTGATACTAAAGAAGTCATACTGAAGAGAATCCACAGATGTGTACTGACTGTGGGAAAGCATTTAATGAGAGGTCTTCCCTTCTTGTACACCTGAGAAACCATCCTGGTGAAAATCCCTACAAATGTAGTATCACTGTGAGAAATCTTTCTGTTAAGAATTCTTCTCTTAGAGTAATAGAAAGGCTTAATTTGATTAAAATGCAATGCATTCATGAGTGAAAAACCATGACAAAACAACTTTGAACAATGAATATATGATGTAAAAAATGAAGAACAGGAATGCAAAACAGGACCTGTTTGGTGGGGGAATACTAGTGGCAGAGGAAAGAGGACAGGGTAATGGAGAGGGTAAGAATGTGAATACGGTCAGTGCACTTTATATACTTGTGTGAAAACAGAAGAATGAAACATGTTGAAGTTGTTTTAAGTAGGGGGAAAAGGGATGAGAAAGAATGATGGAAGAGGTGAACCTAATTGTAGGTGTATG